CCCCAAAACCCCAAAACCCCAAAACCCCCTCATGTTATTTATCAAGCGGGGAATTTCAAAGCATAAAATGAATTAATATTAATGCAAATTGTCCAAATTAATAAAGAGAATATTTATAAACACTGAAAATCGATTATTTTATATGAAATAACATTAATTTAATTATTAGATATAAATTTTTAAGTATGTCACTTGTTCAAGAATAAACTCTATTGCAATCTCTACTTCAAACAGTTGAATAATAAATTCCTGTCGATAAAAATTTAACTCCGTATCAGTGGGTTATAGATAAATTCAAAGAGGAGGATTATCATGAATATGACAGTTATCAATCAAGAGAAATCATTGAATTTGAGCAAAATATTGGGAAAATGCATTGCACTTCATTTTTCTTCAAAAAAAATCAATTCATGATAGTGTATGATTTTGAAAGCACTGATGGAAGAAAAACTAAATTCGAGTTCAGGGATATAGATTCTGGTAAATTAGATAGAGTCTACATTCATACAATTAAAGCAATTTCTTTCGTTTCTCACTAAGTTTTCAATGAAATAGACTATATTTGCATACAGTAGGATCAAAACTTATACATTTATGACATCAGATATTTAGAAAATTTGGAATAATACTCTGTAAAAATTGAACTTCAATAAAAATTCTCCTTCAAGTAAGTTTAGATTCTTGATGAATTCTATTTACTATTTGTTGGTTTGGCTTAAAGAATGAATTCAATTCTTCTCCTTGTCAGATTAAAAGATTCAATTAAATCATATCCAGCAAACAAATAAGATGTATTTATAGAATTTGATGAGGAGACTTTCTCAAAATTCTAAGAAAGCATACCTCCTAATAGTAATTTAAGTTTTACGAAAATCACAATGCTAAGATCCTTATCCATTTCAACTAGAATTTTGAAATCTATTACTATTAAGATTTCTGATATTTCTAATCATTCAATACAATTCGACAAAGTCTCAAAGTGAGTTGACTAAAAGAAGAGTTAGTGAAAATGTCAAAAAACTCATAAAAATGCTTCTAAAAACTATAATCTCTTACATTATTTGGCAGCTGGTGGACTTGTTAAGATGTTATAACCTGGTTTTAATAATTAGATATGCTTTAACTTCTAGAAACGAAATTACGTGTTTGATTACCAAACTACTAGTCTAGTCAAGGATTTTGAATCAACTAAAATAATTGCGATATAACATGAAGATTAAAAATATGCTATCGATTTCCTCCTCAACATTTACAAATTCGATTAAGAATATGAGTTCACAAAGATAAGGAAACTGTATGAAAATGAGGATAGAAGCTTTCAATTATCAAGCGCTGATTTTACTAGGGATAGACTTATTGTAAAGCTCAAGCAAGATAGGCAATCTAAATATATCATAATAGTACATTCCAGCAAATATCTCAATGCTGTTAAAACTGTAAAAAGAGACAGTTCTATTTTGGGTAGACCCTAAGAATTCTTATAAATAGTTAATAATTTCCCTCAAACTGAAGTATTTGAACTTCTACCTACAGATACAATTCTTTTTAAAGATTTTGATGGTATTTACCTGAATGGTGACAGATTTATCAAAGTATAAAACATTTTCAAAGATGAAAAAAGCCATGATAATATTGATTCGAATAATTGCTGTATAATGTCAGATAGAATTAACGGACCTATCTATATTCTTTGGGTGCCACATGATACCAAGATAGTATATTTGAATAAGAATACTTAAGAAATAACCTCATTAATATTGCCGCATTACTTATCATTTTCAAAGAGGCTTTTTAGAGCTTGGATTGATTTTGATTTGAATTTGTTGATTATTAATTCAGCTTCATCTTCCAAAGTCTGTATAATACTCAATCTTGCAACCTTGTTAGAAGATGATACTTTACAATATCACTGCGCTCACGGACCTCATTTCTCAATCTACTTTGAAGAGAACTTCCTTTAAGTTAGTAATACTCATTAAATTAATTTTATGTTCTACAAAGATAAATAAATCTGCAAGACTATAATATACAATTTTGACCAGAACGAAAAATATGAATGTAGAGATGGATATAGGGAGTAAGTATAATAGCCAACATATATTGTTTGTAAAATGTAGGAAGCATCTAAGTTTTGCTACATTATTGAGTACAATTCAATAAAAAGAATTAGAGATTTCAAAAGCTACAATTAGCCATTAACTCAGTCACTCTACTTTTAATATGCCTCTAAAATTGAAATTGATAGTAATTAGATACATTTCTATATGAGAAAAGAAGTAAAACCAGTTGGGTACTTTAATACTGTCATTTTTCATCAAGATATTGTAAAATATTAAAAGTTCAGCAAATCAACGATAGAGGAAGTACTTGATTCGGTTAAGGATGTAAGAGGCTATATTAACCACATATCAGGATTCGGAAACTGCTTTAATATATTCGAAAATAACTTCATTGCACTGGAAAGTATTTTGAAATAGCTTGGATTTTAAGATAAAGAGAGCCTTCCAATATTAATTGCTCCTCCAATGTATGGAAACAAAACCCCTCTAGATATTGCCATTTTAAACAGACAATAGAAAATCATCAATTTGATGATGAGTACTCTTACTAAATACTAAGATCATATATTATTCAATGAGATTGTGGATAAAAATATTTGCAATCTTATTAAAGAACAGATAGATTTACAGGAATATTTTGAATCAAGTATGCCTATCTATCAAATCTTCGACTCTAAATTCCCTACCTAACATTCTGATGAGTCTGAATTAATACTTGGAATAAGTTTAGAAAATCCAAAGGATATTCATGATTAGTATGATAAACTATTCGAAGGAAAACTCGAAAATGGAAGTGGAGCCAATGTCTCAATTGAGTACTTCTTAATAAATTTGCCTGAAACAATCAAGGGTTAGTCGACTGATTTCATGAAAACTCTTAACGAAACTACAAAACTTGAATATTTTGAACATGAGACAATTTAGCATATCATCAATTTTAAATGGGATACCTACACAAAATCATTTTACAAGTTTAAGTTCTATATTTACATTCTCTTTTTGGCCTCATTTATTTTCGAGACTCTTTACCAAACTTATTTTGGAATGCTCTAGTATTAATCTGAAGAAAAGGCTAAGATATAAGATACTAGACAAGATTGGGCAATTATAGTTAGCAAAAGTATAAGTTCAATAGTTTTACTTTACTTTATTGGTTATGAAATGGCTTAAATTAGAAATCAGAAGTTTGAATACTTTAAAGAAACTTGGAACATGTTTGACTTTTCTCATTTCCTTTCATATATTGTTCTTAGCATATTTGAATTTTAGGATATAGACAAGGAGATTCTTATCATAACTTACATAGTTGTAATTACTTTATCATTTATGAAACTTTTCTTTTTCCTAAGAGTATATGATGCTTTCAGTTTCTTGGTGTCTATGATTGCAGGGGTATTTGGAGATATAAAGTATTTCATAGTATTCTTCATGATATTTATTGCACTCTTTGGATTAATATTCACTGTAATATTTGGGGCTAAAAGTATTGATGAATATTAAGGTGTTGATGTTTTGAGCTATTTTGTAATTATTTTTAGAACTTCAACAGGGGATTTCTATGTTGATGATAACAAAGAATTAGGAAAATTTTTAGTTGTTATTACTTGGATTATTTGGATATTTGCAGTGCTTGTGCTCAATATTGTTTTAATGAATTTTATCATTGCAGTCATTTCAGAATCATATGAGAAAGTTATGTAAAAAATGGTGGCTGAATCATACAAAGTTAAAGCAAATATGATCGTAGAAAGAGAATAGTTCTTTTCATA